GTTTTTTACATGAAAATATTCGAGACAATAAATAGGCGTATTATATGCAAAAAAGCGTATTATATGCATGTGAATACATTTAGACAAAAAAATTAAATGTTTTTTTGTATAAATAATTTGCTGAGAGACAATGAAATGAGAGACATTTACTATAACGAGAATATTTTTGAGATTTTTTTTCATTTATTTCACGTATTAAAATTTGAATGTAATTATAATTTTAAAAATATAAATTTTTCTCCTTTAAATATAAAATATGATATAAAATTAATGTTTGACATTATTAACGTTAGAGTTAATTATTAATTTACGTTTTGATTTTATTTCTTGGAAATATCTTAAAATTTATTATAGACATTTTATGAAATCATCATGCTTATTTCTTTTTATTCTGAAAATTTAACTTAAAGTCAACATTGTTTTTAATTAAATATCCACCAAATAATTATGTGAAATATATTTATATATATAAATATCTTTACCGACGTACATGATAGATGTTAAAAAGGTTTTTTTGAGTTTGATAAAGCGAAAATTAATGATATTCGTTTAGGTTACGGCAGTTAGGTTCGAGAGATTGATTACACTGATTATATGATCTCTGTGAATAATCTTAACGTGTAGATAAATATTGAAAGGAATGTGGTTTAAAATTGCTTACTTAATTTAAACTAAAATTATCTTAGTATATGTTTTAACAATGCAAAGTAAAATATTCAGTCACTATAATATGAAAATGTTTTATAGTTCTGCCACTTAAAAGATATGTTATCCTTTCAAAATAAAGACTTGTCTCTGTTTTGTTTTTAAAACTTGGTAAATGAACGTACGATGAATAAAATGAAGATAATTTTCCGATCAATATTTACTGTTTGCCGGTAAATGAAAGACCTCCCCATCTAGAAAATGAGTGGTGATACATTTCCAGTAGTTTCTTACTTGCTATTTAATGGACTTACTAATAAACAAAAATGATGGATCGATTAAGCCATTGTAAGGAAGATGTACATTTTTTCAAAGCTGAGAATGCTATTGTTGAATAGCAGATTTTTTAAATGTTTTTATTATAATTTTTATAATGTTATTGCCTCTTTATAATTGTTTTTAGTATAATTTGTCAATATATTTTTATTTTATAAAATTATTTTTTATATTCAAATTCATACCACAGTTTAAAAATTNATTTTAAATGAAACACACATTATTTTTATATATTAAAAAAGTTATGTTGACTAAGAACAAAATTTATGTCTATTTTTGAGGATTCTACTACATTATTTATCCGGAAAGTAATTATAACAATTACAGGTAATTTTCAAATTTGAGGTACTATCAATAGTTTTGAATTTGTGGTATTATCTGTAAAATAGAACTCCCTAAGCCCACTGTTGTCTAAATTGCCTCAAACCATAAAAGAAACAGGATTTTGGGTGGTCCTGATTAAGCATTCTGCTCTGTTTTTTCGGTGTGTTTTAGTTTGATTTTTAGTATATCTCTCATGTAAGCTACACTGATTAAGAATTTTTTTATACTATCATAAATAAAGCCTTGTAAAAGACTAGTGTTTTTACTCTCTACGCTTTTTTATATAGTTTTTTACATGAAAATATTCGAGACAATAAATAGGCGTATTATATGCAAAAAAGCGTATTATATGCATGTGAATACATTTAGACAAAAAAATTAAATGTTTTTTTGTATAAATAATTTGCTGAGAGACAATGAAATGAGAGACATTTACTATAACGAGAATATTTTTGAGATTTTTTTTCATTTATTTCACGTATTAAAATTTGAATGTAATTATAATTTTAAAAATATAAATTTTTCTCCTTTAAATATAAAATATGATATAAAATTAATGTTTGACATTATTAACGTTAGAGTTAATTATTAATTTACGTTTTGATTTTATTTCTTGGAAATATCTTAAAATTTATTATAGACATTTTATGAAATCATCATGCTTATTTCTTTTTATTCTGAAAATTTAACTTAAAGTCAACATTGTTTTTAATTAAATATCCACCAAATAATTATGTGAAATATATTTATATATATAAATATCTTTACCGACGTACATGATAGATGTTAAAAAGGTTTTTTTGAGTTTGATAAAGCGAAAATTAATGATATTCGTTTAGGTTACGGCAGTTAGGTTCGAGAGATTGATTACACTGATTATATGATCTCTGTGAATAATCTTAACGTGTAGATAAATATTGAAAGGAATGTGGTTTAAAATTGCTTACTTAATTTAAACTAAAATTATCTTAGTATATGTTTTAACAATGCAAAGTAAAATATTCAGTCATTATAATATGAAAATGTTTTATAGTTATGCCATTTAAAAGATATGTTATCCTTTCAAAATAAAGACTTGTCTCTGTTTTGTTTTTAAAACTTGGTAAATGAACGTACGATGAATAAAATTAAGATAATTTTCCGATCAATATTTACTGTTTGTCCGTAAATGAAAGACCTCTCCATCTAGAAAATGAGTGGTGATACATTTCCAGTAGTTTCTTACTTGCTATTTAATGGACTTACTAATAAACAAAAATGATGGATCGATTAAGCCATTGTAAGGAAGATGTACATTTTTTCAAAGCTGAGAATGCTATTGTTGAATAGCAGATTTTTTAAATGTTTTTATTATAATTTTTATAATGTTATTGCCTCTTTATAATTGTTTTTAGTATAATTTGTCAATATATTTTTATTTTATAAAATTATTTTTTATATTTAAATTCATACCACAGTTTAAAAATTCAGAAATTTTTAAACTGTGGTATGTTTTATATATATATACAGTATATAAAACATTCAATTAAATTATTCATTTATTAACAGTTATTTTAAGTTATAACAGTTTATATTAATTTATATAACTTTCATTATAAAAACTCTTAAAATAATTTATGTACTAAAATGTGTTTTTTGAATATTATTATATTTTATTAAGTAAATTAAACAACAAAGCATTTAACTGATAAAATTTTAAAATCCTTTGCAAGCATTTTGTATAATGATTTATTTTATTTAAATTAATTACAAAATTTAATTTAATTTTCAAATTTAAAAAGTCAAATTTTAAAAAAGATTAATAATAAAATATTAAAGCTAGAGCGAAATATTCGTAGAAAATGTTATTACCATTATTATTAATTAATAAAAAGTATTTAAGATGCATATTAATGAATGAAGTATCAAATATCAAATAAAAATCTATCGTAAATTGGCATATTTAAAATAAATTTACTTATCATTGGAATAACGTTTCTTGAATGTTGTTTAGATTCGAATCTAATTATGTCTAAATGAAAAATCACAACTCATTTAGCAGAACATCGGACCATTCCTTCTCAGGCCAATGAGTTGAGATGTTCTGCTCCGTTTGTTTCTCAAAGGTAAAGCTTCCTGTTAGTTTCATCAAAGCGAACCAAAACATTATTAATATAAATAAAATTAAAGAATTTCCCTTGAACTAAAAAAAATTGATTAAAACATTTTTAAATGAGTCGTTCTTTATGATAACATTTTTACGCATGGGTAAGCTAATTATTTTTTTAAAAATTCACCCGTACGAAAACAAAAGTTACAATATTATTGCATTTTAATTCATTGTAATTTTATAATTTCATTAATAATTTAATGAATGCTTTAAATTAAACATATCAGTTAGATTGTATCTTCTTAATACTATTTTCGTATTTTAAGAATTCATATAAAATATTACTCGATTATATTATTAATTTACAATAAAAAAGTTACTCAAAATATAGCTACATATTCACTCAAAGAAGTAATTAAGTTTGGATTATGTGAGATCTGAACATAGCTCTTACGTTATTCGGAAATGATGGATGCATTAAATACGTTTAATTATACTATACATTAATATTAATCACTTAATATGTTCTCGGGTTTGTACATTAATTCCTAATTATAATTATTTAATTGACTTTTACTAAACTAACCTTTCCGAGAAAACAAGACTTAATTATTTGATATGAATATTATATTTATTTATTTATAAATATGCTACATAATTATTTGGATTGCTAACAAGTTTTTCTGTTATTTGTCTATTTTTGAGGATTCTACTACATTATTTATCCGGAAAGTAATTATAACAATTACAGGTAATTTTCAAATTTGAGGTACTATCAATAGTTTTGAATTTGTGGTATTATCTGTAAAATAGAACTCCCTAAGCCCACTGTTGTCTAAATTGCCTCAAACCATAAAAGAAACAGGATTTTGGGTGGTCCTGATTAAGCATTCTGCTCTGTTTTTTCGGTGTGTTTTAGTTTGATTTTTAGTATATCTCTCATGTAAGCTACACTGATTAAGAATTTTTTTTATACTATCATAAATAAAGCCTTGTAAAAGACTAGTGTTTTTACTCTCTACGCTTTTTTATATAGTTTTTTACATGAAAATATTCGAGACAATAAATAGGCGTATTATATGCATGTGAATACATTTAGACAAAAAAATTAAATGTTTTTTTGTATAAATAATTTGCTGAGAGACAATGAAATGAGAGACATTTACTATAACGAGAATATTTTTGAGATTTTTTTTCATTTATTTCACGTATTAAAATTTGAATGTAATTATAATTTTAAAAATATAAATTTTTCTTCTTTAAATATAAAATATGATATAAAATTAATGTTTGACATTATTAACGTTAGAGTTAATTATTAATTTACGTTTTGATTTTATTTCTTGGAAATATCTTAAAATTTNTAAAATTTTTATTTTAATTTATTTCGTAGAAATTACCACTAAATAACAGAAAATTTAATTCTTTAAATGCAAATTGAAAATATATTCAATTAATTTATACACTAATGAAAAATAAACAAGAAAATAAAATTCACAAAATTTAATTTTGGAAATAAGATAGCGTGGCGTACGACGTCGATGTCAAAGGTCACAACTTCAGTTACATGTAGGAGGTTTGTAGGTGTCAAAAAGTTCAACAGGTCAATCTTCGAACGTGGTAATTAAACTAAGCGTACTTTTTCGTGTCTTTCACGCTTCGAAAAACGTGAAGGTTATTGATTGACTGTGAATATATTTCCAAGTTTATTACTTTTTTTTTTGCATAAATTACCACAGAACGGTAATACCTTTATTGTTGGTTACATGAGCAAACGATAAAAATAAACTATTACTGTTCATTTCGAGAATTTTGATTCATTCCGTTTAAAAAAAAAAAAAAATCTTAGAATGTCAACATGTAAAAATGTAAAAAAATAAATAGATTTTACTCGATTGGATTTTCGTTATATTTATATATTCATTTTCATTCAGAAATTTTGAAAAATTTCCGGGTGACGAATTAGAAATTTTGTTGCACAGATGCAACTAATGGACTTAGGGCGTACTAGCCTTTAGAGTCTAATTAAGTCTCATCCACCTTCTATTCTCAGTGTCGACGTCACCCAAACATCTGCTACCATATTGTTATAATCCAATTAGTTACATAAAACATAAATGAATTCCAAGTACAACATCTGTGCAGTCTATCACTATGAATTCTCTTGTATAGGCGATAAACAACTCGCTCGGAAAAAGAAGAGCATTTCCTCTCTCGGTTAAGTAGGAAACTAGAAAGGCCATTCATAAAACTTCTATATCATTTAATAAAATAAAAAAAAAGAAAAATTATCTGGAAGAAAACACAGTTTTTATCTGATATTTATTTTCCTTATCTAGACTCGGACAGATTTATATTGTCGTTACATTTTTGCTAGAGATAAAGTAAATAAGTCTAAAGTTAGAAGAGCTGCAAAAGATATTTTCCGTTTTCTAACACCAATTAATGCTTAGTCAGAATTTTCACTTTTGAATAACTTACGCTAATTATTGTCGTAAATACTCCTATGGCAATCGGTGAATAATTCAGATGACGTTTCACGCCAGCACGCGCGTTCGTTAGCCTCTGGAGGTGCACCGAATTAATGCTATGGTAGTCACGTGCTTCATCTGCGGTCTCGAATCGGAGCACTTAGCAGAGGAGGTCAAGATACCGTTGCTATGGTTACAAGGAGTGTAGATGTCAATTGCAGTCACCTCCATCTGTAGAAGATTCGTTTTCTGCTTAGAATATATCTTTCTTTCTTTTTTTTTTCTTCTACGGTTATGAATTAAATTTTGTATTTTTGTAGTATAGAATTGGATTATAAATTGTAAATTTTTTATAACATATACATATAGATGCGTATAAAAGATTTCGATTAAAGTAGGAGTTTGGGTCGACGTAGAGTAGATGTAGAAGGGAATCGAAAGCTTTGCGAGGTTGAATAGGACCGGACCAATTTACCGTTCTGCCATGTCTGTGTAAGTTATTAGGATGTTGTTTTGGCTGGAGCGATGTTATCTCCGACCAGATGCGGCAGAGTAATCGACTTGTTTGCTACATTGTTCGACTTTGACCATAAAAAAGGGCCAAATGAGAAAGCGACCTCTCGCATTTTGTCCCCTTCTGATACAAGTTTACATACGCAAACCACTTCCTTGTCTCGATTTACTAAAATCTTTCACTTCGTCGCTCCCTTATTGATTTATATGAATTTTATCGAAATTTTATATATATATATATATATCTAGCAAATAATTCGATATTCACATCACCCCATTTTATCGGTGGTTTATTTGTCGATGGTGTTCTCTGTCGAGAAGTGGTGTAAACTGGCGCAGCTGGTCTAGTCATGTTGACATGTTCCTGCACTCAATAAGTTGTCAACTTCAACTGAACATTGGAATTCTTTTTTGCTCTACCCCTCTCCTATCTATCGCACGTTTACGGCTGACCTCGGACAAATTTACATAAATATGAGATTTTGTAACGGTTGGAGAAAATGTGCTA